AAAACCGGCGCACGAATATGCGTGGTTAATGGTTGTACAAACTGAACTGAACTGAGATGACAGAAATTTCCGCAACTTCATGGATACCGCTAAGAAACACGGTATAACGTTCAATGAGAACAAGAGTATAATTGACGCTAACAAGATTCTTCTCGGGTACGAAGTTTCCACAGGCTTAATCAAGCCAGTCCCCGAACGATTCTTAGCCTTGAGGGAACTACCTCCCCCGAGGAACATTGCTTCATAAAGACAAGTGGTGGGGATGCTGGTGTACTACGCCCATTGAATTCCACACTTCTCCGACAAAATCCATCCACTAGTGCATAGGCACACTTTTCCAATTCTTGACAGCGTAAAATCCTCTTTCGAAGAGTTGAAGAAAGAGCTAGAAAAGGCCGCTATTTACTGTTGATTACAATCGCCCACTAATCATTGAAACCGACGCATCCGACATCGCAATAGGGGCAACACTCAATCAGTCATCACATCACCACCGTACAGCGAAATACAGTGAGGCGAACTTCACTGCTCGCTGCCAAACTCGCAATGCATACAAAGTTAGTGATAAAATTTAAGGTGGACAGGGATTGGACCTATTTTGAGGAAGGAAGAAGGTGAACCCCTATGGTTAACACAGAGTACGCAATCAAACTCCGCATACATACCGTTTCAAGCATTCTTACCTGATAAGAAACGACAACAAGAACATCACTGCTGTCGGTTCGCTTCCAAAGTCAAAGTTTTATTATGGAAAATACAAGCGGTTGCTTTTCTCGTCCCATGGGATGTAGCACAAATGGATTGAATTACGGTTCATTGAAAGATGAGAAATGTTTGGTGCATTGTAACGGAAGTCGAAAGTTAAGATTTGTCAGATTTTTCTCCAGTCTGCCTTTGAAGGAATTAACTGTGGGTGCAGTTAACATAGGTGTTCAGGGTTCAGCATTAAGTGATACAAGATCAAGCCCCTCGAATTGGACGATACTGTATAGAGAAAGACCCAATGATTCCAGTCTTTCCATATAAGTCTTGGGGTGCAGTCTATGACCATTTTGGTGACCATTCTTTGTGGACGTTCCAGTATCTTACGGTCGCGTTGCAGCCATGGATTCCACGCTTGAATTGCATGCTCTATGTGGGGCCGACTGTAGACTGATAACAAACGTGAGAACAGCATACGTTCAAAGTTTCAAAATACTCGCCTTACCAACATGTCTTACAATGGTGGACGACGCCCTGGAGCAGTTTGAAGAATAACTTAGGTCGTCTCGAAAAAAGACACCAAGATCGTTCTCATTCGAGGTATACGGAAGTTGTTGATATCCCAGGAAGTACGGAAACCGAGTTTTGGGTACATTTTGATGCACTGAATTCGATGCGTCTTCGATCAACCATTGATAAGTGCCAGTGAGTCCTCAGGTTGTCACTCTTTTCCATATTTTCGCACCGTCTGCAAACAGTACCGTTTGTGATCCCATAATAACCGTTGGGTCGTTTATGAAAACTAGAAAAAGTTGGAGCACAGATCCCGATGGAACTCCTCGGGCTACGTTGATAGGATTACATAATGACCCAGAAACCTCAACTCTCATGGTGCGTTGTCGAAGAAATTCTATCCAACCCAGTACAAGTCCTAGAATTCCATAAATATCTAGTTTCCTCATCTGTATTTTGTGGTTTGTTCAGTCGAATGCTTCGAGGAAGTCGAGATGCACGACGTTCACTGCAACACCATGATCAACTATTTTTATCCACTCCTTTCGGGCCAGAAGCAGGTTAGTTGACGTCATGTCGAAGATGCTAATACATCTGCAGTTCGTGCAGATGGTTTTATCATCCTTTTGGAATATGGAGTAGAATAGATGGTGTCGTCTTTTAGGAGAATTCCAGCATTCCAGGCGTGGCGGAATAGTGTGGTTTAGTAGAGTTGGTGAACAGACTATAGATTTTAGTCGGGACGCCGTCTTCGCCAGGGGGCTCCTGTTGCATACATGCCTGCGGCTTAGGTGCGTACGTTCTGCCAGTCTGCGCATCGATAATTTGCTCGTTCTACAGACGTTATTGATTGATATCTACTCAGATCGATCAACCTCACACACTTGCCTATGCCAATACTGCCGGACGACATGGGCCCGATCCTGATTGGTTGTTAGTTCTGTTGCTGCCTTGTTAAACATACGTTTGACACGATAACAAATCTCTAGATATGGAACTGTATCTTACGAGCAGCTGTTTGATTCCTTTGTCAACCAGCATCTGAATGCGTGTGACCCTGCCTTGTCCGATACGTCACATTCCTTACAAACAGCTCTATCTAGCTGCATTTCAACTTCTGTCACCTGAAATAAATTTAAACCATTATATACTCGTACCACTGCTGTTCACAACTCCGTTGTACCTTACCTTTCACATTTGTTGGTTTCTAGGGGGCGAATATCAAACGAACGTATACAGTCTAATGTAAATTTTCACGTTGACATTATCTTTATTTTTTACGCGTCCTCAGAGTCCCATTCATTATCATCCACGTAACTTTTGTCATATCTTAAAATTCATTTTTTAATAGCGCTTACGCCAAAGCAAAAGTGATGCCATTCTTTTCACTGAAAATTCTGTCCACATTGGATGAATGAAGTGCACACTTGACTTGACATCTAGCAACTGGTGTGTTGCTGTGACTACTGCCAACAACACCAAAATAATAAACTAACAGGATCGATACACCCATGGGCACTACCGGATGGTCCCTGGCAGCGCGTGCATGCAGATTACTTCGGACCCGTTGAGGGGAAGATGTTGTTATTTATGATAGCCTAATCAAAACGGACTGATGTCCATATTGTACCCAACATCATCTCCGAGTGCATCGTCAACAAAGTGCGTTTGAGTTTTGCAATATACGGGGTGCCTAAAACACTATGCACAGATAACGGCCCCAGTTTACCAGTTTACCACATCATAGTTTGTTAGAAGATTAAAACCTCACTTCCGGTTGTCCGTTTTATCTCTCTCTCTCATTCGTCACTCAATCATTCGAGCTCACCACAATCGATAAGAGAGGACTCCGCCCTGTTGCTGAGTACAATACCTACCCTGCGCTGTTCCACTGAGCGGGTTTCATTGTCGTTTAATGTACGTAGAACATATCTCAAAGACAAATCTGGCGCGCTCAAGTAGCTTATAGTAGCAGGATCCTGCATACGAGTCTCCAACACGCAGGAAATATCGATTCCTAAGTATTTCATTGTACGAGCCAGAAAAGTGTGTTGACCTACCTGCAGCAGAGTCCTCACGTTGAATGACTCCAAATTCAATGATTGACGATGCTTTAGAATCTGCAAGTCAGTTCGTAGTACAACACTTACAGTGCAACTTGGCAACGGCCTTTGGCAAACGACATCAAAACCGCCTGACGGACTACGAGGTTGGAAGGAGGAGCAAATGGAGACGGCTCGGTGCTAAAGATAAAGAATTAAACAAATGCTGGGATATCTGAGCAGTAGCCCACTTATCACTACCCACCCCGCTCGATGCAATAGGCAGCACGGTCCTGATTATCCTGCGCGACGACCGATGCAGTATGGAATTATTTTTATTTTGTGTATGCATTGGGGTTCGATGGACGTTACTGATGTGACCTTTCTGACCACCCATTCCCGTCACATCTCATCATCATCCTCATTGTACAGCGTAATACAGTGAAGCGAACTTCACCGATCTCTGCCAAACTCGTAATGCATACAAGTTAAGTGAGAATTCCAAAGGAGTATAGGGGTCAGGCTTATTTTTAGGGACGGGAAAGAAAGCGAACATCTAAGGTCAACACACAGGGTACACAGCCCAACTGGGAACACACACAATACGGAAAAAGTATTCCGATCTGATAAGAAATGACAAGATCGCCACTGTTAACGATCAGCAGCCATGTTCTTCAGTGTCTCCAACCATCTGGCTATGGAGTCTTTTGGACCCCAAGCCGGAAGACAATATACATCTACTCCACCTAATCGCTCTGTGCATTTCTTCATCCCTCGTCTGCACGTTATCCGCTGGCTTCCATACGACTTTCTTCTGTCTGTAGCGCCGCTGTAAATAAGGCACGGTGCGGAGGACGATCGTTAGACACACGCTGGTTCTTGTAGCGCAATCTTGGTCGGCTGCACTTGATAACCAGGGAGAAACACACTTGGTCTGGGTTAATACCTCAAAGGCCTTTGAGTGATTTCGAGACGAAGGTCTACTGGCGAAAGTGCTCATGATCCAGTTTCCTCTGATTCTCGTGTCGTAGATAACAAGTTTCCTCAGTAAGCCAACCATTTACACCTCGGTTATATCTCAACCGTTCCCTATGAACGCTGGGGTTTCCCAACCTCCGTTCTTTTCAACAACTAATTCTCTTCTAAAACTGACGACCCATACAATTCGTTTGCTGATGACGCCACTCCCCACTGCTCCCTCTCCTATCGCACTACTCACCGTGCCAAAACCAACATCGATGGTGACTGTAGTGCAGTTAGTGTCTCTGGAATCTAATCTCGAACTCCTGGGGCAATAAAATTGGAATTTTATTCAGTGCTTCCAATAACTTTATTCTTCCGTTTCATTAAAACATCACTTATTCCCTCTCCCGGGACTTGGAGTGGCGAATCATATAAGGCCCGCTAGATTAGGCGTGGTATTGAACCGAACGACAGCAAAGCTGCCTTCAAGTAACTCCACGAGGGAAGAAACCGATTTGAGAAATCGGGCAAGTAGCCACATATGAGTAAACAGAAGCAATCCATTAATAAAAACCAAATGAGGGAAAGACTGGAACAAAATCTCGCATCAATGCATAAATGGAGTTAGGACCAAAGAAACAAAGTGAAACAATACTCTCTAAAAATACTCTTTTTCACGGAAGAACGTGCAGCTGACCAACCATTGAATTTAATTATACTACCGTCATAATCGTCTCTATGGTAAACTAGAGTACTGAAAACCACCGATTTGTTTGAGACTTACTTGTTTCGAACAATATCCAAACTGGGTAAAAAATGACTGAGAAGTCCAGCTATCTGGCCCAAATTGTGCTGTTTTGTGACCTGTCGTCGATGCTCTACGTAGTTTTCGAATCTAGAGCGAGCCTCTGTAGTACCCACGAGTTGAATGTACGTCACAACATGAGTTTGCTGGCTATATCTGGCCATAAACGCATTCCAGCTGTTGAGAAATTCGCAAGGAGCCTGATTAAGAACCTTGTAGAATAAATTTAATGCGAGAGCCAGCTCCGCCTCGCGCTCTTGGACGGCATCCACATATCTTGGACATTTGATCTTTTGAGCCCTTGGTTTATCGATCAGCTTTACAAGTGAAAGGAATGTATTTTCTACATTAATGTTCTCGTGAGCTGATGTTTCGATCAAAGGGACCTTTTTGAATTCACTGGACTTCTGCAGCAGTGACGACAACTCCTCCATGGCCTGAGATCCATAGGTATCAAACTTGGAAATAGCCAGCACTACCGGCTTTTTCAGCTTCAAAAGAAGCGTCAAAATCTCTTGAATCACTGTTTGTTGTGGGACGCAATTGCGGTCGGGACGAAGATGGTTCCCGGGGAGCTGATGGCTAACATCACAAACAAGAACGAATCCATTGACCTCAATTTCACCAGACGGAAAGTACTCCTTTTCATAAACGTTCTCCTGGCCAAGCTGATCTTTGCAAATGTAGCGAAGTTTGTGCTCTGATGACAGGTGCATCTCAGTACTCCGTTGAACATAACCCTCTTTCGAGCCTGAGTCAACCCCGCTCTTCTTGGAGGCAAAAGGTAGAAAAGTGGAGTCATTTATGAATTCAGTTTGCTCTATTATCCTAAAATTAACAGTGTAGTCATCAACTTGACGTGATACACATCCCCAGTACAACCAATGGTCCAAGTTCACGATTTCACCAACGAAATCAGCTGCACTCAAAACGGAGAGATGGTCCTTTCGGTAGTAATCGGGGTGGGGTAAGGCAAATCTGTTGCACAAACATGATTTTCCAGCTTTTGGAGGGCCCACGACGCTAATGTTATACGTTTTACTAAACGACACCTGCGGTAGGTGAGGTGAGTTCGGCATATATCGTGAAGGTCATTGGGCAATGTATCAGTAAACAACAAGCTTTGTGCGGAATACGATGTTGTAATTTGTCAGCAGATCTAGGTATGAAGGCATAACGGGTGTTTATGATTGAAAATAT